ACTAGAGCCATGTTCTGACATTGGCCCCCCAGACTCTGCCTGGCCCTCCCCACCCCCTCAACAACGGGCTCCTCCGAGAGGGGCGGGAGACCCAGAACACAGAGAATAAGAGCCTGACCCTGCAGCCCCCAAACTCACCTTGACCCCCTCAAACCATCCTCCAAACGTTTGCATTTGTCTGAGATTTGCAGAGGGTCAGCGGAATTCCATGGGGGGGCAGGTGCCGGGGTGGGGGAATTTCCCTGATCTCTGCCCCATGGGGCTCTGTGGGCTGGAGTGGGGGGGGGGAAGATGTTGCTGGATTCCCTGGGGGGGGGGGGGGGAGGGAGGCACCTCTCTGGAGCTCCCTGCTGAACAGGACAGAGCGTGGCAGAGCAACTGTGCATGTCGGGGGGGCGGGGGGAGCTGTGGGGGGCATCGCTGCCCCCTCATGGCTGGGATCAGAACTGTCTGGTGTGTGTGCGTGTTGGTGCACACACATGCAAACACACATACACACACACACACACAAACTGGTGTCTCTCTCCCCTCTCAGCCCCAGGAGCCCGACCCCGGCACCGAGGGACTCACCTACGCCGAGCTGGACCGCCAGGCGCTGCAGGTCAAGCGGGGGGGCCCAGCCCCTGCCCCTGAGACTGCCCTGTACACCACCATCAACGTGAGCCAGGGGCCCGACGGGCAAAGCCACCAGAGTGCAGGGGCGACCCTGCCCATAGTGTGAACCCAGGGGGAGTCACCGGAGCGACGGGACAGGGAGCGTCGGCCACCAGGGGTGACAGAGTGATTCCCCCCCCAGAGAATGGGCTCGGCTTATACCCGCCCCCGTAGCCCTCCCTCCAGCTGGTGCTGCCCCACCCAGCCCCACGGGTGAGGGGCCAGGAGGGCTCAGCACCAGGAGGGGGAGGGGACACGCTGAGGCAGCTGTTTGTGTTATTTTGCATCCTGTTCATCTCCAGATTTGTAATAAACACAGAACCACAAACCAGCCTGTGACGTTCCCCTGGTGTTATCC